ACATTTTGGGTCTAAAGAAAGACCTACAATAGGCCGATTTTGCTCTTGCATAATGTATGTTTAATTAATGTCTAATTAATACTTTAGAAAACATTTCAGTCATAGAAACTAGAAAATGACATTATATACGTTACAACATTCTACACATTTTCATATCTCGTAATATTTCTCGCGAGAATTCTACTTTGGATTTCAGTTAAATTAACCAATCATAAAAATTATACGTTGCAAGCCCAAAATAATTTCTTTATTGTCCAATCAATAGACGCCTTCTATTTTTACTTTATTCTATTCTTAGCATTGTGTAATCGGAATAATATTAGCGCAGAGTCATGTACAACGGGAAACTATGGTGGCTGATTGGTATCATGTCGTGATGTCGCCCTTCATAAGGCGACAACCCGACATTCACGACATTATAACCCGACACCACAACATTTTTAACCCGACACAACGACATTTTCACCCAACACCACGACATTAAGAATGTTGTAATGTCGCGTAAAAATGTTGTATTGTCACGTAAAAATGTTGTGATGTCGGGTTGTCGTGGTGTCGTGATGTCGGGTTGTCGACTTTATTTATCAATGTTGAAGCGGCCACGAGATCAAGTCAGCCCTCACTATCTCATCCTTCACTAAGAATACTTACCCTTTACTAACTACGAATCAAGCTGGCCCTCACTACCAAATACGGGTCTTAATACGAAATTCCATATATCATGTTACATATCAGTAGAACTAGAAAGCACTTTCACCGGTCTTTTCATATATAAATAATTTTCTGGCACATTTATATTTACTTGCCTTGAGAGGTGATCAAAGACGAATGGTACAAAAATCTATTAAATGATGGGGGTAGGGGTATTCAAACTAAAAATACGGGTCTTAATACGCAATTCCAGATATTATGTTATATATCATTGAAAAGCACTTTCATTTCTCTTTTCTGGCACATTTATATTTACTTACGTTGACAAACTATCAAAGTTGGATTATACTGAACTCTATTAAAGATACATTATGTAAGATTTAGATAAAGAACTAGCCATTCTTGCTATAATAGTTCGAAAGTAGATGATGTAAAATGAATAATTTGAAAATTTCATTCAAATTACTCTATTGCAAGCGAAGATATTAGCCTTTGAAGGTTTGACAGACAGGTGCAATAATTTCAACCCCCGTACTGGTTGATCGAAGCTAAGTTTCGGTCCTCCATATTTGATTAAATCAAAGTATCGCTGAACCATTCCAATCTATTTAATATCGGAGAAATCTGATGCCATCGAGAGTTAATTAAGGCCTGGATCAGTTAATTAATGTCTAATTAATACTTTAGAAAACATTTCAGGCCTAAAGAAAGACCTGCAATAGGCAATTTAGCTCTTGCATATTTAAGTAATTACGTGGGGGGAGGGGGTATTCAATGTCTAATTACGGGTTCTAATACAAAATTCGAGATATCATGCTTCATATCAGTAGAAAGCACGTTCAAATATATAATTAATTTATATTTACTTGCCTTGAAAAGTGAAAAGGGGGTGGGGTATTTGAAATAAAAATGCGGGGCTTAATTCAAAATTCTGTATATCTATACTGAAAAGTAAAGTTAATCCTCTCTTGAAATGTATTTATTATATTTTCGGCGGAATGCATATACTTTTTAAAATTAAAATTGATACAAGTTTGGTAGCCTTCAATGGCTGAATTAAAGAGAGTGGTGGGGATGGGCGAGTGTTTAATATGTGTTATACGAAATTCCAGTCATTGTGTCATACATCACCGGAAAGTGGGTTTCTGTGGCTCTTTAATAAATCTACTTGTTATTTTCTAGCTTATTCATAATTCCATACATTAGAAGAGATAAAAGCATTTTTATTTTGAGCAGAGAAATGGGTTACTAAAAATAGATTACTTTCAATTCATTTTAATTATCAAAGGCTCAAATTAGCCCATACCGAGCAAATGATTACTCCCAAGTCATGGTCATCCAGCGAATTTGGTAAGCCAGCTTGATTCGCAGTTAGTGAAGGGTAAGTATTCTTAGTGAAGGATGAGATAGTGAGGGCTGACTTGATCTCGACAGCACTCTATTTTTCATGGCCGCTTCAACATTGATAAATAAACCCGACATCATGACACCACAACATTTTTACGCGACAATACATTATTTTTTGCGCGACATTCCGACATTCTTAATGTCGTGATGTTGGGTAAAAATGTCGTAGTGTCGGGTTAAAAATGTTGTGATGTCGGGTTGTCGTGGTGTCGGGTTATAATGTTGTGATGTCGGGTTGTCGCCTTATGAAGGGCGACATCACAACACGATACCATTCAGCCTCCATAGGAAACAGAGTATTTTATCGTAGATATTGAATTAAAAATGGTTAACCGAGCAAACCAGGAAATCAAATAACTATGGCCTTAGATAGTATTTAATTTTCATTTAAGAATTGTACATTTTTCAATGAAAAGTTTCCAGAAATGTTTTCGTGAGTAATGCCTTACTCTTGTGAAATGCATTTCAGGCGAGTATAGCATGCGCGCGAGTAATGACTCGCGCCTCCTGACGAGGTCTGTAATGAACGCCTACACCAAGTTTGAACATTCTATCTCAATTAGAAGGAGTGTTATTGTCTTTCAAACAATCAATTGCATATCCTTCCGCTTAGCCTGAGCAGAAAATGCTCATTATTGAACTTAGTCAAGGTATTGATGTAATGAAACTATACATGAATCACCCATTCAAAAAAATGGCGTCTCGCTGTTGCATTGTGGGAGATCCGTGAGCAAACTCACGAGGAGGACGCCAATGCTATGCATGGGATTTCTCTGACCAAATTTCGAAAAAAGGCTGATTTTACGTTAATTTTAGTGATGGGGGATATTTCATATGATGTGATAGAGACACAGATGGTTAATGCACGTAAAGAATACCTCAGAAAACACATTCTGAAGTATACAGATCGCAAAAAGGTAAAATGAAAACTTCAAAACAAACAGCTGTCAAAACTTAACCTTCGTATCAATCAGCTGATCGCTGTCACTTTTAGCAGGTCAATACTACTGTGAGTGTACAGTGTTGCATAGAAATAAATAGCACAGGGTACATTAAGAATGCTTAATAAAAAGACATCAAATATTTAGACCCTATATACTTTATACTATGGTAACAAACAATTGTTATTACCTGCATTTGTTTTGCTGAGTAGACCAGCGCTACCAACTCCTTTTTGCGGCCTGTACACTTAAGATTTCGCTTCTCAGGTATTCTTTAAGTGCATCAACCTTCCAGGGGGCAGTTTCACAAAGCAACTTACGATGAAAAATTTGCGTAAGTTTATCGTAACGTAAACTTACGTAAAAATCGCGTTTCACTAAATTCTTAACTTACGAAATTCGTAACTTTTATCGTAAAGTCTACGGCAACTCTCACCTTGTCGTAAGTTGGAATTTTTTTCGTATCTTTGACAAAATGGCCGCCTTGTTACTTTATGCGGATCGGCAACTTCGACGAGAGAGAATATTCTGGGATAGATTAAACCCTCTCGACACCCATACAGATGAGGAGTTAGTTTCGCGGTACAGACTTGACCGGACCAGTAAATTACATCTTATTAACTGTATTATTATTAATAATGATGATATCGAAACCGCAACTTACCGATCGAAATCCTTGTCATCACCTGTACAAGTCCTGATTGCATTACGATACTATGCCACAGGTAGCTTCCAAAAACTCATTGCTGATGCACATGGGATGAGTGTACCATCAGTGTCTAGAGAATTTATCGTGTTTCACGAGCAATAACAACCTGTGTTGACGATAAATTATCAATAAATTTCCCCTATTCCATGGAAGATATCAATTCTACAAAGGAAGGTTTTCACCAATAGCAGGCTTCCCAAATGTAGTGGGAACGATTGATGGTACACAAGTTGCCATCATAGCACCATCGGGAGAAAATGAACCGCTGTTCGTCTGCAGGAAAGGGTTTCATTCCATTAATGTTCAAGCAACAGCTGATTCTAAACTCGGGTAAACGTACGAATTATCGTCTTGTTTTAACTTTAAGCTTCAACATGACACGCGATAAGGGGAAAGCGATAAGGGGACTCGTCGTAAAAATACATAGTTCACTGCATAGTTCCTTCAGAATCCCATAATTCTGTTCAACCCCCTCAATTAAAACACCGAGAGCTGCCGGATTCCAATTTTGTTTTCGCCTTTTTGGTTCCATTTCGGCTTTTGGCAGACTTACAGACGACGTATGGTACTATGTCACGCGCTATGACGTAGCAAACAAAAACAAGTAAACAACAGGCATGAAAATAGCATTTTATTCATAAATACACCGCTAAATCTTAGCGTATATATAAGGAATATATCATTTCGTCGTTTATGTTTCAAAAGGTAAGGATCTTTGTCAACATTCAGTCCGTGGGAATGTTTACAGAAGTGTGAATGAAGTGACGAAAAAAGATACGAGAAAAAGTTAAGAAAAAACTTACACCGGCCTTTGTGAAACCGGCGTAAATAATTCGTATCTTTTTCGTAAGTTTTTCTTAACGTAGTTTTTTTTCTTAAAGTTACGAACTTTTGTGAAACTGCCCCCAGGTCTCTATCACATCGAATGAAATATCCTCCATCCTTAAAATAACAGTAAAATCGGAGTTTTTCGCAATTTGGTCAGAGAAATCCCATGCAAAGCAATGGCGGCCCTACTTGTGAGTTTGCTCACGAATCTCCCACAATGCAACAGCGAGACGCCATTTTTTTGGAATGGGTGATTCATGTATACACCATGTTTCATTACTCTCACTTAATTAGAACTAAAGTTATCGTGTCCCAAAGTATCAACCCTATGCAAAGAAAATGCTTAGCTTCGGAAGTGTGATGGCAGACAGACGTGTGACAAACGGACAGACAAATTTTAATACTCCCCTGCTTTCTTCGAAAAGTGAGGGGACAAAAAACGTACAATTAAACAACAAATTTACCCTAAACACTGCAGTATAGAATTCATGTAACATGTGTTTCCTAGGTTACGTAGACCTGTTACTCCAGGTATCAGGGTTCGTTTCCTAACAGATGGAGGTGTGGGTGGAATATCTAATTTTCTCTTTTTAGGTGTTGAACTTTGTTCCTATAACAATGAAAGTATAAACTTAATGTTGGCTAACTGTATATTTTGTGAGAGAGAGAGAGAGAGCCGTGGGGGAGGGAATTGCTCGAGTTAGGCAGGAGAAACCTTTAGGACCATTATCATCTGAGTGGCTTCTTACAATGTGGCTAAGAGACACAGTTAGATACTATATATATAATCACATAACTGATATGTTATCAATTAATTATCATCCAATCAATTAATTTACTGGTTTGACTAATGATACATGCATGTGTTTATTGCATTTAACATATTAATTTCTTACCTGAGCAATTTTCTGTTGTTTAACATAAAAATGCCAGGCACTAAATACTTTACACAGTATGACTCGTCTGAAAAACATAAATTGTTTTGAAATATTTTAATGCCTACCAAAAGTATATTGAGAATACAAAATGCCACCCTCATAAATACGGTCATACAATTCAAATATAATATTTCATCCTTGAAAAAATGGCTGCTTAAAAGAGGTCTTTATTATAGTGGATTTAATTAAACAAGTTCATCCTACCCTGAAATTTGCTGATTTACAATAAATATCATATAATAAAAAAAAAAGAGAAATAAAATATGGTAATACATATACATGAATTTTATAAATTATGCATTAAACCACACCACACCCCCTCCTCCCTTTATGTATCTTTAACTAAATTTTGTGGAGTTCAGAGTTTAAGTACCATCACACAAGAAATCTTGGGCAGACATGCAGATGATGCTTAGTGTGTCAGCCAAGAGAAATAGTTTTTCCATTTTCCATGACATTGCTCATATTGCAACCAAAATTGCAATATTGTCAAGTATTACCTGTCCTTACTCCTACTTCAAAAAGACCACTTTTACTCACAAACTTTTTAATTTTTTAGTTTTGATAACTTTTACAACAATTATCCATATAAATGGTAAGAGTTGGTTGAAAAAATCTAAAATATGCATACCCAAAATGACAAACAGCTGTAGCTATACGATCATTTTCATCTGCATGACACCTAAATTATGAATAGAACAATTACAGATTAACATACATGTAGCATGAACGCAACAATATTTTTATACGCCCACATGTAGACGTATATTGTCATTGACCCTGTCCGTCCATTCACTTTTTGCTTGTGGGCACTCCACAGGTCACAGTTTTTTTTATCCGATTTTGATGAAACTTGAAATAAATGAAATGAAATGAAATGAAATGGGATTTAACGTCCTACTGTTCTGCTCCTATACTGGGCTAATGAAGACAAACATGCCATACAGTGTGCTATGAGGGAAATTTTGCCCGGGCAGCGGCGCTACAGCCTACTCTTATATCGAATTCCAACTGCCAGGGGATCTTTTACGTGCACGCCAATATGTACACATGACCTCGGTTTTTCGTCCCATCCGAACGACAAGATAGCTGTCCTTGTCAGGCCCTCCAACCTGCATCACTGACAAGGGGAAACCACGTCGGAAAATCTGGATGCACTTTCTCAGCCAATGCAGGGATCAAACACCCAACCTCAAGGCTAGCGAGCCAGCGTCTTACCCACTTAGCCACATGATCCCCAAACTTGAAATATAGGTTTATCGCCCAAAGATCTTGGTTGCTTTCGATATTCGCAAATACTGGACCGTAATTTCCTGGATTATGGCCCCTGATGGTATGAAAAATCATGTTTTTAGCTTGTGGAAACTCCAGAGGTCACAATTTTTATGAAACTTAAAATGTATGTTTATGACCCAAACATCTTGGGTCCTTTCAATATTCATGTATACTGCTGTTTTTATTAGAGGTAACCAGTTATGTTAAACATGCATTATGCAAGAGCTAAATAAGCATATTTTAAGTCTTTATTTAGGCTTCAGATGTCATAGGAATTATAAATTAGATCTTTATTTACACAACAACCACAAAATCAACTCTGTAGACCCACGGATGGCTTGGATTCGGCTTGGATTTAAACAGGATTTCATTGATTGATTAAATTTTTAAATGGCGGCGTAAGCAGAGATTAACCGTTATGTTGACGTCATACTCCTGGAAATTATCCATAAAAGGCAGTGATGATCGAGGCTAAATGATAGAGGGTACGAAGCGAGGCCGCTGTTGAGCACAGCCGCATGTCAGTCAATTTGATTGAAAGTTCGATATTTGGCCTTGATATTATGTTTAATTGTGGTTAAAATGAGAGTTTGGATGTCTGTATTATATGCTCTTTTGTCACTTGATAAACATCGCAGCTATCATCACCCCAGTTGAATTGCAGCCCCATTGGATCACTGTCAAAAGTGAAAATGGACTTTTTTTATTTTTGTCTTAATAATGAGTAATTGTTCCACCAATCCTCAGACATTCAGCAATTCATCGTGGCATGCTCCTAATCAACTGTCCAATCACAATTTGGGGCAATCTGACCCACTCCTCTTGCAGTGTTGTCGGTTGACGTTGACGTCGACGAACATGTCTCACGATCATGTCCCAGGTGAGACTCATGGCTGGCCAAGGCATATGGACAATATGGTGACACTGGAGGTAGTCATTCACGACATGAGCGCGGTGGGCACAGGCATTATCATCTTGAAAGATGAAACATCGACCTGCACGTTGAGCAAAGAGCAGAACTATCGGTGCAAGTCCGTCCTGCCAGTCATGGTGATTCCTCCCCACACCGTAACAGACCTACGCCCGAATCTGTAATGCTGTCTGACATTAACATTAGAATGACGCTCATTTACACGCCTCCAAACGCGAGCACACCTATCGGTGAAATCTAAAGTAAATCTGAACTCATCTGAGAACATTACATGCGCCCATCGACTACTACCCCAATTTCTACGCTGCCTACACCATGACGCCTGTTTGCCATGTGCTGGCAAGTTAACGGACACACAACACGCGGTCATCCATATGCAAATGGGCTGCATGTAGCGAGTTTCTAATTCCTGTAACTTGGTACAAGTTTACAGAAAGCTGATTGGCTGTTTGTTCTCAATTTCGCAGGACCTGTGTACAAATGTATTGATCCTGGGCTTGTGTAGTTGTTTGTTGGTACCGGTTCCACAGTCTGCTGATCACAGACTGTGATACATTAAAGTTACAATTTCATATTTTCTAAGAAAGTCAAAACATAATTATTTCTATGTCTTTTGCTCAATAGGTTGTCAACTCACTATTATACAATCATAGGTGTCATTCCCACACTTAAAACTCATTTACACCAGAAATAATAACACAATTACCTCCCTTGTTTTCTATTCTCCACCATGGAGTAGCTATCCTCAAACGTTTGAATTTGAAGAGGAAAATGATATTTTTGCCAATTTCTCAACTGGCAATAGTGAATTATAGGATTAATAGGATTATTCTTTAACAAGGTAGGACTGTTTATAGATACCATCTATTTTAAGGCTTTATTTTAATAAATTTTAAAAATATAACGTAAAAATATGAAATTGCAACTTTAAGTATGTTGGCTACTGCTCGCTGTGTAGAACCCATTTGAAGCATGCCAATAGCATGTAGACATTCATCATGTTGAAGACGTCTCATTGCAAATTAAACATAACACACTAAAGCAAAGATACGTTAAACAGTAAATCTTATGCAAGAACCGATAGGAAAGCAAACATGGATAGGATAAACCAGCACGCAGCAGTTTTCATCAACCCTTCCATGAACTAAGTTGAAGTGTCAAATTTGACAATGAACCCCACCCACGTGTATGGCGCTATTGCTTGTCGCAGATGCAGCTCAGCGGTTCTGTTAGGGCGATAAGTTCTTCACATACTCTCAAGGCATGTCAAGTGTCCATGACTATTTACCATATCATGCTGTACAGGTATTTGCATTTCAATATCCCCTACTTTTTTTGAAGAGTATATATCATTGGACTATAACTTCATGGATTATGGCCCCTAATTGTACGAAAAATGTGGGCGTATCTAATCTTGCATGGTAATCGGTTGTTAACTTTTAAAAGGCTTAAAATTATGAATCTACAACATTTTACACCAAGCCAGAAAACTTAAAGAGTCAGTCATATTTTTAACTCTTCAGAATTTTATAGGATTTTATATAAAACATCATTTATTAATTTGCTGCAGGAACAAAATAACTGCAAACCTTAGGTTTTCCTCCACCAAAATTTAATTATGAATGAAATAAATTCTGTCAGTAAGTTTCATGCTTTAAACTAAGTATTAATTAAATAAAAACACACTTTTATTCTTTATTATGGAAAAATATTCAATGCAGTGCCAAGCATTGAAGGGGTGCTCTCTATGAGTTTCACATTTTATTCACTAAGTCATAAGCGCCAGATCAGAAGCTCAAAAATGGCTTTAACAGCTAGAGAAAGACAGGCCAGAAGAAGGGCTAAAATAAGGTCTTCTAAAGATGCTTATGTCCAACATTTATTAAATTATTTACATAACAAGCCCATAATCAACTCTCTAGGACATCGGATGGCTCTGATTTTAAGTAGATTAGAACACCACACCCATTTAATAATTAAACTACTATTTACTAAACTTTTAGTTATAATCCTTGAGTGGCATTTAGCGATTGAACACATTAAAAACACAACACAGTTTATATGGAAATACAATCACTGGTTTATAGGCATAGCCAACGTTTCGACAAGTATTCTCTTATCGTTATCAAGCACAAATGATAACGATAAGAGAATACTTGTCGAAACGTCGTGCTATGCCTATAAACCAGTGATTGTATTTCCATATAAACTGTGTTGTGTTTTTAAACTTTTAGTTCATGGATAATTATTTATTATCTAGGGAATAGAGTGCTTTGACAATCGAGACTACACTTTTTCTTGTCAAAATTTCAAACGCTCATTATGAGCGTAACTGTGCCCAGTAAAGTAATTTGACTTAAATTCAACATATACATTTTACATTATCTATTTTTAAACTATTATAGCGAGAATGGCCATCTTTTTATCTAAATCATAGTAAAAAAATCCCCGGTAACAAACTTGACAAGACTGTGTAGATATAAACAGAATTTATCCAGGACGCGTTTCGGGCGTTCGCCCTTTATCAACTGGTTACAAAAATCATCCCGTTACCGGGTATATATAGACAATAGAATTATTGCGCATGCGCATAACGTTGAGGATTAATAAAATTAATCCCTATACTGGGATTATAAAAATAATAATGACATAATAATATAGACAAATTTAAGATCATTAATGTACATAAAAAAATAAAAAAAAATATATAAATATGAATAAAATTGATGTACAAACAAAACCAAAACAATTAAATATATATAAACGGCGACTATCATCAAAGGACTGTAGTCAGGTAACAACAATGGCGGTAGTTTCCTTAGAGATGAATACGTATAGTCTCGGTCATCCGGAACCTCCTAGTCTTCAAACGTGCAGAGGTAGAATAGGCCTATACGTATGGAGTTCTGCTGCGATCGGTTATGAATTCAAAGGAGTAGTTTCGTAGCTAGTGGTTCAACTCTGGATCGTGAAATCGGTGATGCTGATGGGCGGTAGATCGTATTGGTCACCTCTATGAATAAAAATATATTCTGTAGTTTAGAGGGCCTCGGGAAAAAAGTGTACGAAGTATAGCTTAAAGGTGCAGAAGTTGTTAGAATAACAGTTTCTCTAAAACGGATGCTGTAAAAATAGATTGTCGATTTGGTTTCAATAGGTTTTCCTCGATCTGGTATGTACTGGTGGTATTATTTCTTCTTAAGGGTGAAGTTAGGTTTTTCTAAATCAAACCCAAGTGTGTAAAGATTTATCTTCTAATTTCTTTATTATTGGTATAGTGGAAACTTTAAATCTCTTCTGCTATAAAAAGGTGAATTCGATAATAAGTTTCGAAATATGTCAAAAAAAATAGGTGGTATCTAGTAAAGGAGAGTTCGACATTTTTACTGGGTTTTCGTAAAGTTTCTAGCTGCTTATAATAGTAGTTGAAAAAACGTTTCAGATTCAGTATCGTTCTGGGTGTTTTATAAGGATTT